GTCTTATTTTGTATGAGAAAGAGTTGCAATTTAAAGAATGATTGATTGAAGTGAAGTTACAAGAATATTGGAATAATATTTATAGTCAATGAAGAGAAGAATAGTTGGGGTGCTCAGTCAAAAAGGAAGGCAAAAAATAAATTATAATATTTATTTTTTACATATGCCGACGTTTCGACCTGAAGTTCAGGCCTTCATCAGGGCTAAGAAAATAACCAGATAACAAGGTATGAGAAACATAAGTAATGATGGTTATAGAATAAAAGAGATAAGAAGATAAATAGAAAATAAAAAGATAAAAAGATAATAAAAAACGAGAAAATAAAATAAAAAAAAATAATTAAAAAAATAAAATAGATAGATATAAAGTAAAATGAAATTGTTAGAATAATAACTAAGAACTAAGAGATAAATAATAAAAACTGTTAATAGTGTGGAATGATGAAGTAGGCATAATCAAAAAGGGGTGACAAAAGTGTTACATTGGGAATCTTAGAATAAAATGTAAAAACATAAAAAAGAAATATAAAGTTATATAAGAAATGAAAATAAATAGTAAAATTAAGACATTGAGAATGGAGTAGTTAGATAGAAAATTGAGATATTATAAAGTCTATCAAGATGTACAGACAATGTATAATATAATAAAGAGTTAAAAACAGAGAAAAGGAATGAAAGGAAGGAGGGAAGAAATTGAGAAAGCTGAAATAAGAAAGAAATAAAAGAAGTACTACCTTTCTCCTTAAGTGTCAAGGGGAGAATAAAAGTCGTTACAAGGGAGGGGGAGAGGGGAGAGATGTGTAGGTGGCGTCATCTCTAACGGTTATCAGACGAAGTTTGAACTAAAAGCGCTGGAAGCCTAAATAGGTACGAGAGATAGGTACTTCAGGTCGAAACGTCGGCATATGTAAAAAATAAATATTATAATTTATTTTTTGCCTTCCTTTTAGACTGAGCACCCCAACTATTCTTCTCTTCATTATCCACGACAGTCAATCAATTACCAATTATGAATATTTATAGTCCTTGATACAGACCCCTTTTTATCAAATTATTAACATCCTCCTGAAACTTCGTAAATAGCTTCATCTCATCGTAACCTACAAATATTATATTTATGAAAACTCTTGGAATTGGGGCGTTTTCAATCTGGAGGTCTGCGAACTTTGTTTATTTAATCAAGTACTAAAAACTCGTAAATACCCGTATGCTTTTTTTTTCACATGGATCGTAAGATAATTTGTTTTAAAAAATCGATAAAAAAGGTGGACTACAAAAATATTGGGCTGTTTGGCCAATATAAACTCGTTATTTTGACAATTTTGGGGCGTGGGTCACGTCAAACGGCTCGATAGTTTTGAAGGCGTACTTGTTTTTTTATTTTGTGCTCAAATTATCTTACGATTCAGGTGGGAAACAAGTGGGTATTTACGAGTTTTTAATACCTAATTAAATAGACAACGTTTGCCGGCCTCCAAATCGAAAACGCTCAATTCCAAGAGTTTTCGTAAATAAAATATTTGTAGGTTACCATGAGATGAAGCTATTTACGAAGTTTCAGGCGGATGTTAATAATCTTATAAAAAGAGGTCTGTACCACGGACTATTAGATAGATAGAAAGTAAACTTTATTCTGTGACGAGGTCCCTTATGAATAACAGATATGAACAAAAAAAAAAAAATAAAAACTACATTTGTCAATATTTAAGAATATATATAGTACCTTCAGTGAAATTATATTAAAACAAGTAAAAATAACACCATTTTGAGAAAAAAAACAAAGTAAAAAAAACATTATTTAAATGAAAAGAAAACAAAATAAAATAAGCATGGGTTGATTTCTAAAATCAATTTTAACAACCATTCACCGCAGTCAAAATCTGTTTCGCAATATTTATTTTATTGTATCATTTGGGATCTCACGTCATTTTGGGATGTGAGAAGGAATTGGTAAAGATGATATTTAAATGAGGACAATGAAGAGGCATGGCGGATATCAGATGGCAAGGAATTCCAGAAGGCTGTGGATCGGGAAATAAAGGAATATTCAAACGTCTTAGTTCTATGGGAAGGGATATAAATGTCGGAAACACGGGATATTGTTTTCTGGGAGTGGACCACGGGTTTAAATTGTAGGAGACTGTAGGAACGGTGTCTGGTGTTGATTGTTTGGAATAGGAAAGATCCAAGGAAATATTGTCTGCGGAAAGAAGGGAAGAGCCACTTTAACTCGTCGTAAAGGTGGGACACATGAGACCGCCTCGATGTACCGAAAATAAATCTTAAGCACGTATTCATGATTCGTTATTACGATGGTTTCGTGATGATTGTCGTCGAGAGCTGCCGTAGCATAGGGGACTTGACTTGAACTACCCTGGATATTTTACGATAAATATTTAAAAGATACTCGATAATGACGTCAAAAGGGGAAAGTGGCAGGCTCTGAGGGAAATTGATCATCTGAGGAAATAGACGGAAGGAAGAAGGTATGAAGGTCAATGATTAGATATGGCTGTCCCTCATGGCCTCTTCATCGCAGAAATTATTTTTAATATTCTGTGGGAATCAACCCTGTGAACACTTTAAATGTGTTAGACATAACTGTCTTAGATTATATAGAGACATAACAGTCTATATTTGCAGAGCTAATCATAAAGGTCGGTAGCTACCTCGAAGCATGATCATGAGATCTTGTGCCATTCTGTGGGAATCAACCCTGTGAACACTTTAAATGTGTTAGACATAACTGTCTTAGATTATATAGAAACATACCAGTCTATATTTGCAGAGCTAATCATACAGGTCGGTAGCTACCTCGAAGCATGATCATGAGATCTTGTGCCATTCTTGGCACCAAAGTGGAATTTACATGACGTATAAGCGATGTATTCGATGCGAGCAGACTTATTTGTACGTATTTATACATACTTGTTTATGGTTGACATTGTATCATACTATCTCAATGATTTTAACCTTGCACCGATACCGTTCATGTTCCGGTGTAGGATGGCATTGCTCAATTTAAGCGTTAAGACGTGAATACATGAGATCAGTGCATTTAATTCCACAGAAAATGACACCATTCATTTCCTGAGGGCCTGCCATACCTATAGCGAGATCAGAGAACAATGTTTTGGTCGGCAAAAATGTTTTAACTAGTTTGAATTTTTGAGATATTAATAGAACACCTTATTTATTTGTTATATAACATAATATTTGTTTGAGGAAGGAGATGGTACGAGTTGGCGGTCGTAAAAAGACTACAATAATTAAAAAATATTTTATTTCAAGACAACGTTTCGACTCGACTCTGCAGGCTGTCTCCAGGGACGTATATATAGAATAGAATAGAAAATTAAACTTTATTCTGGGACTAAGTCCCTTTAGAATAACAATGATGAGTTAATACAAAGTAAAGTACAAATCTGGCCAAAAACTAACTTATAAAAATTTTAATATTATATACATTATTTAAAAAGTATGTAACCAGTAAAAAATAAAAAATAAAATATATATACAAATGAACATAAAATCTTCTTAAAATTACTTAATTGAGATGAAAAAAAAAAAGAAGAGAAATTACATATTTATATATACATAACTACACAATTTATAAACAATAGGCTATCTAATAGAAAACTAACTTAATACAAAATGTAATAATATCTACAGTGGTTTATATAATAATATGCAGACACTGAGATAAAATAAAATCTTAGGATACTTGTGGTGTAATGGAAAAAAAAGTAAAATAAATAAAAGGAACTATTTATACGTACATTCTCATATTGGCACACATAAAGACAAAAATATAAAATATAAGCATATATACCCGAAAGAAAAAGCACAACCTGAGGAGAAGAGAAAAATACATAAATAGTAAAAATAATAGTCAAACTAGGTGACAAAGATCATTGCTGTTTTATGTTAAAACTTAAACAGTAGGCACCACTATTTACTTCACGCAAATTCAGTTCATAAAATGAAATTTATGGTGGTAAATCTTCTGTTTGGGATGTAAGGAGATATTGGAAAAGGAGGTATTTGAAAGTTGACAGGGAAGAGGCATGACGGATGTTATGTGGCAAAGAATTCCAGTAGGAGACGGAGCGGGCTAAGAAGGAACGTTCATAGGTTTTTGTCCTGTGGAATGGAATATAGAGGTCAGAAACACGGGATCTCGTTTTTATTGAGTGGACTAAGGGTTTAGGCTGGAGGAGACAACAGATATAGGAAGGGTGCTGGGAGTTGATCGTTTGGTATAAGAAATTTCCAAGGAAGTATAGGCGGCGGGAAGAGGGGAAGAGCCACTTTGACTCGGCATATAGGTGGGACACATGAGACCACCTCGAAGTGCCGAAGACGAATCTTAAAAAACAGTTCATGATTCTCTTCAGTCTGTCCTCAAGCTCCAACGAGAGGCCACCGTATACCACACAGCCATAGTCAAAGTAGGATGGAGGTTGAAACTGAGTTGAGTTTCTTGTGCTTCTAACTTTGAGTTTCAAACGAAACCCTATGCTGCATACACGCAGAGTTTGAAGAAGACCCGCAGAGTCGGGTCGAAACGTTGGCTTGAAATAAAATAGTTTTTTCACTATTTCAGTCTTTTTATGACCGCCAACCCGGACCATCTCCTTCCTCAAAAATATATAACGGTCAACCATCAAGTATTCACTATAATATTTGATTATTTTTTTAAATATAATTTCTTGTGTAACACTTTACAGACTTAAGTTCCAGATATAGACCAAAGGACAAGTGAAAATAAAAATCAATAAGAGTCAGTGTTTGTTATTTCATGGCTACAATGTCGCTTGGCTTCGAAACAATAATAATCAAGCTCGCTCGTTGACACAATTGATTCATTCAATTACTTAGTAATGCTACGGCCATTGCTATGTTAAGACATTTCAAAAGCAGTAGGCTTTACGATTTCAATACTCTGATATTTCCCATAACGTAATAATTAACAGCTAGTTGATCATCGCATAACAGAAATGACAACTACCCGTACCAACAAAGAGAAGCCCAGGGTGGATATGGAATTGTGCTGGTGGGGGAATACGAGGTTAGCTTTGGATGAGGTTTTAAAGAAACCTCGACTCACGGGAACCTTCCCATTTAGTGCAGGTTATGATGTTCTCATGTGGCCATCAGCTTTTCTAGCTGCTCTCAGCCTCGTATTGAACATTTTAGGCGTAGTTTATTCCCGGAATGTTCAGCTGAATATAAACATGTACAACATACCCTTGGTTAGGTTGGTAAAAGCTCTCATTACGACCACATCCAACACATTCTCTCCATTATGGATGATTTATAATTATAAATGCATAATAAAACTTCTGAGATCAATCGCTTTAGTGGAAAAGGAGCTAGACAAGGCATCACTTGAATGGAACTGGAGCAATAATTACTTTCCCTTCTTTTTCTTACCAGTAGTATTATTAGTTGTAACAATAGTTCAAAGTACTTGGTTTTATGAAGAATCAGGTTTATTATATGCTTTATCGTTTATCATTATAATAATATGTGTATGTCCGACCCTGTCTTATATTTGGCAGTACTTCATACTCCACGATGTCCTCAGCTCTCTCATGCAGAAGGTCAGCAAACTCGAGGATGTCGATTCCTTCGTCAACTGTTATCATTCCTTAGTAACGGCCTATCGTGCCGTTGATAAACTTTACGGATTACAAATTGTAGTATACTTTATGATAGCCATGCAAGTTATCATCCATAGCTTGCACTACGTTTGTTCAAAAAATAACTTCGATCTTTTGTTTATCAGTCAGATCGTTTGGATTTGCTTTTATTCTTTCATCACGTTGCTCGTTATTAGAAGATGTAACTCTTCCAGGAGAAAGGTTAGTTATTATTTATTTAATAACCTAATTTTACAATATATGTTGCGCTCTATGCCCTAATAGACCATCTTTGTCTAGCTTTCCTTCAAAATAATCGATTTTTGTATTGTATTGAAAGACAATGATTGAAAGGTTTATTTTATAAATGTTTTACAACCCTTAGGATATGGAGTTTTCCCAGATGCTGATATAACTTGCCGTGTTTTTAAGTTTCTATACAGGACAGTATTACAGTTACTAGCTCAACAAGTAGGTCTGATGGTGAGAGAGGATGAAGTTACGAATAGCCTCATCAAATACCCATGCGATCCTGCTGAAGAGAAAGATGGCTAGGGCACATCCTATCGATCTATGTATAAGGGAACGAGAGTACATCAAAGCGAGGTGGGCATCTACCTTGACATAAAATTTAGAAGAGGATTTAATATGACCCTTCATTTGAAGTTCTTAGGAAATATGGTGGACCTAGCCTTGAATGGACTTAGTCGTCTAGGGGATGCATTTTGGGGTCTCAGATATCCAGCTACGAGGACCATTAACAATGGAATGATAGTGGGTATTCTGAGATACGCCTGTGTGGTCTCAGAACCTCTCACAGCGTCAAAAACGCAGATTGGCGACAATTCAACGTACGGCTCTGTTGAGTGTCACCAAGTCATACCAAAGTGTGTCTCACGAGGCGGTGCAGATCATAGCAGAAGGGGTACCTCTCGACCTTCTCCTGCGTGAAGACTTGTCGATATTTAAGTTAAAAAGAAAAGGTTCAGCAGGTCTTCCGGAGAATATCCGGGTGAGGATTGCAGAAGACCCAAGAAAATGAAAAGGGATTATCCGAGAAGATACCACAGATGCGCGGAATTTGCGGTGAGTAACCACCTCGAAAGGAACAACTTTAAGAAAATATTTCCTCACCGAAGGCGCTTGAACGTGAAGTGGGTTCTCCCGAACTACTGTGTCTCTCAAGACCTTACTGGGCATCGGGCTTTCCGCGCTAAGTTGCATAGTCTTGGAAAAGACATAGATCCCCTATGCCCCACCTGTGGAGGTGAGTACGTCATAATCAACTGTAAAGCTTTTGAAGGCCTAAGGGCCGAAAGAAAAATTAGAGTCTATGGCCTGACGGAGGACAATTTTTCCCAGTTAGAGACGGGGCAGGATTACCCGTATTGCAAAGATTTTGTGTACGGGTGGAAAGCTGCTCTGGTGCCCTCCCACTTTAATCTGCGAAGAAGAGAACCTGCTAATGGAAGACCACCAGACTAATAGGGTAAAAAGAAAATAATGAAACAATAAGAATTTTTGAAAAAAATAAAAATAAAAATAATGTATTTGTCGTTCAATAGCAGGAATGGCATGCACGTTTGTGACATGCCATCCCTGCGAAATCCATGTAGCCGAAAGGCAAGGAAGGGAGGAATAAATAAATAAAAGTAGGCCAGGTGGTTTTTATTGGCAACATCTTACCTACCTTGCTAACATGCTTGTTGCCAACATGCTACCTTGTGGTTGCTGCAACGTACTAACCTGAGTGGGAGTGTCAAGATAGTTTCCCTGGGCCACCGTGAAATAAATATTCAATGATCCAGATGGAAATCAAACTGTTTAGAACAGGATATTCTAGGACTGGCGCCGAAACGTGCTCGGGTGATACCTGTCAGTACTTACAGTTAGAATTACAAAACAAAAAACAAAGTTGTATGTTTTAGACTACACGATAGAAGTGAAAACATCAACAATGCGAGATTAATAATATTCAATATTTTATTTTTATTTTTATTATTTTAATGGAATTAACAACTGTATTACGTAGAAAATACAATAAGTAAATGTGAAATTGGTAACATGACATGTACAACATGAAGAGAAACTACCCATTGGTAGAACTCAAATTAAAGTTCTATATTAGAAGATCCCAGGCCATCTTCTTTTCAGACGCCTCGGAGGGTTATCAGAGATCGAGGAGGAAGCAAGGTTTGAAACGAGAGGATTCGGATGGTTCTGCAGTTTGTTATGGAAGGACAGGTATCTGGATTGGGCCAAATCGGAAACATATGGAACATTAAGGTCTTTATGGATGATTTTATTTGTGGCAAAGTAAGGAGCGTTGAGGATTTTACGAAGGATTTTGGATTGGATGCTGGAGGAATTCGATGGTTTAGTGGAGCCCCAAAGCTCAATTCCGTAAGTCCAAATAGGTCTTATTATTGTCATATATACGAGTCGTTTATAATTGATTGAAAGCTCAGATCGTTTGTCTAGTAAGTGCTGCAGTAGTCGAAAACGTCGGGCGGTTTCTAGTCGTTTCAGTCTGGTATGGGGTTTCCAAGTGAGTCGTTTGTCAAGATGGAGTCATAAGTATCGGATTTGTTCGACAGGGATAAGAGGGCTATTGTTGAAGGACACTGTAAAATACTGTAGGACAGGAAGTCATAGGTTTACGACGAAGAGTGAAGGTTATTTGATGGGATTTATTGGAATTTATTTTAATCCTCCAGTTTTGACACCATTTTTCAAGGCTTGTGATGTGTGATTGAAGAGTTTGGAATGCAATAGATGGATCGTTATTAACTGATAGGATACACGTGTCATCGGTATAGGTGGTGATGACAGTGTTGGAATATTCAATATAAATTTTAAATAATAGCACATTATAAAGAGGATGAAATGCTGAATATTTCCTTTCTTTACAGTATGTAAGTCCGATTTTTAGTTTCCGAGATATTTTAATCCATATCTTCCATAAAACTCGTTATCATTTGGTTTTGGAACATTTTTTTCCCGTTTTCGTCTCTCCAACGCGGGTTTTCGTTAAGATTAAATTTTGAGTGATTGCCCAGTACGAAGAGGATGAAATGCTGAACAATTAACTCGCTTACATTATGGAGTTCCGATTTTTAGTTTCTGAGATATTTTAATCCATATCTTCAATAAAATTCGTTATCATTTGGTGTTTGACTCTATTTTTTCATTTTCGCTTATGTAACATGGTGAAGCATTAATGTCGAATTTTGAATAATTGCTCTTTAGATATAGGATGAATTGACGAACATTTCTTTTGCCGAAAATATGCAGCTCCAATTTATAGTTGCTGGAATGTGGCACTCATGTACCGGGGTGTTGTTTTAAGCCATGCATTTGGTTTTATTTTCATTTAGTTGTAGATTGATTTGCTCTTTTTCTCTTATAACTAAGTCCTTTTGATAGTTAAGTAATAGATATTTATAATTGATTGAGTCAATGAACTTTTACAACATATTACATGCAAAATAAATTTTATTTATTAGTGAAAAAATTAACAATAATAATAACGGTTAGTTTAACCAAAAGGGTTTTAGTATATGTTAATTCAGAATGCTCGACATGCTATAATAAATTCCCTTTTTCAAATATCTTGCCTTAATTGAAAGTTTTTTAGGAGTTTTGCCATTTTCATGTCTTTTTCTACCACTGTGCGGCCTACCTCATTACCAAGAGGATGAAATAGATAATATTTCCCTCACTTACATTCGCATGTTCGATTTTTAGTATATGAGATATTTTAATCCATATGCAAAAAAGACTTTAATTAATCGACTCTAGCCGACTTTACCTGAGCGTTACAAATCAGAATCTGATAGCTCAATCTAATTCACTCTCAACAAAAACAAAATTGCAAAACATGCCTAAAGAAATTTTCACTTAAAAATGTATATAACAATTATTTATTTCTAATGTTTATTCTACTTAAAGAAACCTAGTGTAGAACGGTTGATCGTTATAACAGGGTTGACATGTTAAGAACAACAAACAAGCACTTTCATCAGTATGATTGGAACTTGTGATCAACAAAATTTCCTCAATGTTTTGGCATGTATAATGAAGTAGCTACGACAGTTGCTGTTGTCCATAGGGAAATTGGATTCACTTTTATCCTAAGGCGAAGTGGGTCAGTCGATCCGACATGTCCACTTTTCGGGAGAATCGAAATTCCAAATTGAATTTGGAACAGAACTGGCGGGAAGGGACGAGGCATTTGAAGGCGATATTCAGGAAGCCACGACACACCGGTACCTTCCCTTTCACAACCGGTTATGTTATTTGCCTGTGGCCATCATTCGTTGTAGCTATTGTCGGTTTTATATTCAGCATAATAGGAATAGATTACTCAAGGAATATGGAAATGACTACATACGCTTTCGATGTAACGTTTGTCAGGATTGTGAAGAGCATCACCTCAACCATATACAACATATCATCTCCAGTATGGATGATTTGTAACCATAAATCCTTAATAAAACTTGTGAGATTGATGGCATCAGTGGAAAAGGAGTTGGACAAGGCATCGCTGAAATTGAACTTGAAGCCTCAACTTTCTTTCTTTTTGTTCCCTGCAATGGCAACAGTTATAGCCATAGCTCAGTGCCTCTGGCTGTACCGGAAGAACGATTTCCTCCCTGCCTTTTCACTGGGCAGTATAATTCTTGGTTTGCTTCCTTCCATGTCCTATCTTTGGCAATACCTCGCCCTCCATGATGTTCTCAGATCTCTTATGCACAAAATCAGAAAACTAGATGACACCGAATGCTTCGTTAATTCCTACCATTCCCTAATACTCGCTTACCGTGCGATTGATAAACTTTACGGGTTGCAGATTTTGATGAGTTTCATCATATCGATGTTATCTATCTTACATAGCCTGCATTTCACTTTCTCTAGAACATTCGATATCATGATGGTCTGTCAACTCCTTTGGACCAACTTTTATTCCTCCTTGGCGTTACTTATTATCAGGAAGTGTGTCTCTTCTGTGGAAAAGGTAAGCTAAGCAGTCCAATTCAACAAATTGATTATAGTACTAGAATTGCATACTAAATGAAAATTATTAGCTTGAAAATTAATTACCGCCCCCAATACCATTACTTTTATTTGTAAAATGAATCGTTGTTTCCATATAAATTGGTCCTTACATATATTATAGATCTAATCCTTGAAATTGGGTTTGTAACAAAATAAGATCCTACCCAGATGCCACGAAAGGATTATGATTGCATTCAGGATTTTATGGGGGAGAAAGGGAGGGGAGAAGGGAGCAGGAGGGTTAGTGAATCGTTCTCTCAGTTTTTGCATTTCCTTAAAAATAATTCTAAATAAATAACAAAGCCTAAAAATGCACAGTCTTTGAGGTAATGCACGGGGAAAGGGTTTGCACCACACAAACCCACATTAGTATTAGTGTTGCCGTGGGATATTGCATTTCGTTGGTTACATTTTTACGAATGAGTGAGAGGAGGAGATTATAAGGAGGTAGCGTATTGTATTATTTCTTATCAATAAATTATATACAATTTGATTAGCCTTCTAATTAGCAACTGAAATATTCTTGGTGAATGTAGTTTTGCTTCCTCACTATCGAAGGTAGGGAAACATTGTATTCGTGCGAGAGGCTAAAAAAAGTTTTGTGCTCAGATTCGAAAATTTCCACTTAAGTTTCAGACATCAATGATCAAATTTGGTTCGCTGTCTGTCTGTCTGTCTCTAGTCAAATCGATGTAACGGGCATATCATCTACTACCGTTTAATCGATTTTCATGAATTTTTCAGGAATTGGGAGGGTCGGTGTCTAGATTATCCCGTATAAATTATATCAAATTTCAGTCAGCACTGCCGCTTACGCAAGAGCAAACGCATATTTGTAGATATACTAATACTTCAGAAACGGCTAGTTCGATTTGGTTCAAAGCTAGATAAAAGATAGATATTTGTGAAATAATAACGTAGGTTCAATTTGATTGAATTCTGTCCATTGCTTGCTCTTTTATATGCGAAAACGTGTTTTCTTTGATACGTCTATATCTCTAAAACAACAAGTTTGATTTGAGTTAAATTTGGAGGAAATTTAGGGATTGGTAAACATATAATTAAACAGGCATAAATTGTATCAAATTCTATTTACTACTCAAAAAAAAAAAAAAAAAATCCGCTTTCAAGTCAAAAAATGTGTTATTTGTTATGCCTATAGTTTGTAAACGGCGGATTCGATATGACCCAAGCTCGAAGGAAATTTGGAGCATAGTATAGAAATTACTTAGTATAAATTTCATTGAATTCCATTTAATAATTAAAATTAATATAAATAATTGTTTACAATATAATTCCTGCGAAATGTGGAAGGCATTGATCATATGAAGTGGAAAATATTACAATATTTTTAAGGAGTTATACAATTTTAGAATTTATTAAAAAAAAATTATTCACACTGAGTTGTTTGGTCGATTCAAAACTTTACTGGCATGAAATTTACTACCGTTACTTGGATTTCGTATAATTTTCAGTAAATTTAAAGTAATTTTTACTTTAAGTTTGTAAAAAAAAAAAACACGTGTTGTTTGTGATTGTGTTTATTTCTATTGAAGTTCAACCTGTTCGTCCTGGTCTCCCGAAAGTGCTTGGTCATAGAGGATCCATATTATTGCCCAGACCATGAAGTTTAGATAGAAATCCTCTATGTAGGACCCACTTTGCCTGAAGCCTCGACTGTACCGTGGGAAAGTACGTCCTCAATGTACTTCCTTTAGGGGTTGCTACCCATATCCGGTTCCATGCTTCAATCTTATCCTCCCGAACTATCTTCTTCCATCTATTAGGCGCATACATAACCCTCAACTAAAAATTTTCCGAATCTAGATCCCAGGATCAGATTTAAAATGAACGAAAAAGATCAAGAATTTAAGATGCAGGAAGAGAATGGAAATTTATAAGAAATGTATACTCTACTTAAAACAAAATTATATGGATGGATTCGGAGAGAGAAACTTCTCTATTAAAGGACTGTGATTTGAAAGTAGGGGGACCGTCTCCCTTACTACACTCTATTTCTTACAGAAGTTCGGCTTTGGAAGAGCGCAGATGAAGACAATGTAAGAGATTATTATTTCAGACTTGCTGGGAATCCTCCATCACTACATATTATTAAACATATTTGCTATATATTAAAATGGCCCGATCTAATTCACCTTTGTTTAGGTTTTACATAATATATGTTAATTGATGATGAGTAAGCTATGTGAGTTAGCAACTTAAGAATGATCACTAAGAAGTGAAAACCCTTATTTTTTCATAACACAAAAAATATGTAATTTAGGGTTGATTAATCAACAGGTTATTAAAAGAAGCAGAGCAAATCGGACTACAGGTCAATGTAGATAAAACAAAATACATGATAGTTAGCCGAAACATCCACCCTAATAACATGATCTGCGTGGATTCTAAGTCATTCCCGAAAGTAGACATGTTCAAATACCTCGGCTCCACAATAACCTCAATAAATGATCAACGAACAGATCTTTCTTCTCTCCTTCAAAGGTACTGAAATCCAGAAAAATCTCCAGAAATCTCAAAATAAGGGTGTACAACGCCGTGATTAAGCCAGTTCTGCTGTACGGTTGTGAAACCTGGGCTCTAACCGGCACATTAGAAGCCAGAATTGAGAGATTCGAAAGAAAAGTTCTACGTAGGATAACAGGACCCATATGGGACCCGAACCTTGACACATGGAGGAGAAGGAACAATAAAAAACTGTTGAAAGAAACGGGTCAGTCAATATCTCATGACCTGAAGGCAAGGAGGTTAAGATGGGCGGGACATGTTGCTCGTAGCAATCCATCAGGACGCCTCTACATGACAATGAATGCCATAGTAGTAGGCAAGAGACCACGTGGGAGGCCAAACACTAGATGGATAGATAGGATAGACAAAGATACGGCTGAGCTTCATGCAGCAAACTGGAAAGCAGTAGCCCAAGATAGGCAGAGGTGGAGAAGGCTGGTTCAGGCGGCCAAAGATCTACAAGGTCTGTAGAGCTAACCGAAAAATAAAAAATAAAAAAATCAACAGGTTGAAGGTTGGGGATGTTTCCTAAAACCTTTCAATACTTGTTATTTTTAAAATGTTGGTTAACGTCCAGATTTCGCAGCCGTATATCAGAACTGGCTAATTTAAGATTTTTCGGGATTCAATACCTTGTGAATAGCTTTGTTTGAACTTATTGTTCACTATTTATTCTGATAGATAGTCAATCATTGAGGTTTTTACGAAGCTAAGATATTTGAATTTTTCTACTCTCGAGGACGATTTCTAATCTGAGCAGATCCTGTTGTTGGGATGTAATTTTCGGCTTATTATCACATATGTTGTCTTATATTTACTCCCTTGTAGTCCAAGTGCATCCTGTATGTGTATATGTATATATGTAGTGCATTCTGAGCTACTTCCAAACGTTCTCTAGATCCAAAGATCTAATCTAGCGAGCTCTTTTCTCTTCTAAATCCAATTTGGTAGTAGCTCATTATATTTTCTGTTATGAATCAATCAGGTTTAGTTGGATATTGGTCATTATCTTGTAGGCCTAAAAAAAAGGAGGACTATTAGTCCCTGTTACAGACCTCTTTTTATCAAATTATTGACATCCGCCTGAAACTTCTTAAATAGCTTCATCTCATCGTAACCTACAAATATTTTACTTACGAAAATTCTCGGAGTTGGGGCGTTTTCAATCAGGAGGGGAGGGGGCAAAGTATTTCTATTTAATCAGGGTTTAAAACTCGTAAATACTCATTGGCTTTCCACTTGAATCAGATCGTTATATTGACGATTTGGGTGTCACGCCGAACTGCTCAATATTTTTTAAGGCCACCTTTTTTCCCAACTTTGTGTGGAAGTTATCTTACGATTTAAGTGGAAAACAAATGGGTTTTTAGTCCCTAATTAAATAAACAAAGTTTACCGATCCCCAAATTGAAAACGCCCCAATTCCGAAAAAAATAAAATATTTTTAGGTTGCGATGAGATGAAGCTATTTACAACGTTTCAGGAGGATGTTAATAATTTGATAGAAAGGGGTCTGTACCACGGACTATTATTCTTTATTATCTTAATTAATTGTAGCTTGGCTCATAAATACTCTCCCCATCTACAAGCTATGATGGCTGTCCTCCTCTGGGGGCGGGATGGCCGAGCGAGCTAACACGTGCGTAAAACTCGCGTTGGTTGATAACTAGTGTTGCCCAAATGCGAGACCGAGACGAGTCTTGGTCTTGCAAACTCAGTCCTGGTTTAGGTCTTGGTCTTGCGCTCTCGTAACAGTCTTGCAGTTACCTATTAGCTTATTAATAGAGAGATATTACTGTGATTTTTTAGACAGAAGAAACAAAACTAAGCCTGAATGAACAATTAGAAGAGTTAAATGCAAAAGTATATTAATGAAGAGAAGAATAGTTGGGGTGTTCAGTCAAAAATGAAAGCAAAAATAAATGATAATATTTCTTTTTTACATATGCCGACTTTTCGACCTGAAGTTCAGGCCTTCATCAGGGCTAGGAAAATAACCAGATAACAATATATCTCTCGTACCTTTTATTTTTTTTTTTATTTGTTTTCCACCCTCCCATGCCACCAGGGCAACACGGGTGTATGCAGTAGTGTGATGTTAAGCATTAATGCATAATAACACACTACTGCCATAATATCAGTTTACAAAATTCTAAGCTGTGCACACAGCTAGCTCTTCTACTTTTTCCTGGCTCCTTTAGGCCTGGCTTCCCGAATCCGGAGGTCTTCCTGGGACTGGTCCTCTTCTCCTGCGTGCACCTAGGTTAAAGTGAGCTGGGCCCACCGCCGTCTTCCAGCCATTTATAAACTCTTTGAACCGCGGGAAGTTTTCTTCACTCACCAACTGAGGAAACTCCTCCTCAGTGAGGACGTAAATCCCCGTGGTTCTCATTAACCTCGCTCTTAATTCGTCGAAAGCAGTGCAGGCCGTGACCACAT